ATTTATAGTACTTGTCTGTCTAGGTATTTCCTATTTGCCGATATCCACTTCAGTCATTTGGCAAATGCCTGGATTAAATTCAGGCATTTACTATTTGCCCAGCTTCATAAAGATCGATTGTTATTTGTTATACATATAAAAAAAGGCCAAAATATAAAGTCCTAACGCTTTAAACCACGCGGCCACGGAGGACTCGAAATATTAAAATTATATAATACTATGTAAAATTCTTACTTTGAAGATAATGTTTAGTGAAAGTACTTTTTTATTTATAAACATTTATTTAATTCTGTTTTTTGTATTTGGTCTTATAGCGGCAACATAGATACATTGTCTGTAAAAATTTCAACTGTCTAGCTATAACCAATAACGGTTCATAAGATAGACCTTTGTGACAGACGGACGGACGGACGGACAGCGAAGTCTTAGTAATTGGGTTCCCGTTTTTACCCTTTGGGTACGGAACCCTAAAAATGATCCTTATGATATTTTTGATCTTTATAATATCACTTGGCACTTGGCATATGACTGGGCAAATAATTATTTGCCTAAATTTATTTTATCCCTACGACATTTATATTAGACAAAAACCACTAGATTCAAAATTCACAGACACAAGTGCTTCAGTGGCTTTTTACTCGTACACAAATTTGAAAAGTAACTGACTAAAAACGCATTATGACGTGAAGTAAAAATATAGAAACTACTTTAATACAGAAATTATATAAAATGGAAAAATTTAACTCTTTTCCACGAACTATTAAATCGTTGACGTTCTGCAGGCGACAGAGATAAATATGCCTTGAAATTTAAATAATTTCAAACCACTTCGCTATCAACCACTGTATTAACTCAAAATTTAAAATTGCTATTAAATTTATGTGCATATTTGAGTACATGCGACGTCAAAATTTTAAGCAGGCAATAAATTAATTCCCTTAATAAAACTTGCTTACAAATATCTCACTAAAAATAATTTAATTTAAGTTTATAAATTTCTGAATGACTTTAAATGAACTAAAATTAAATTAAACTAACCAAAAAAATAGTTCATATTTAACTACAGTCAACAATAAGGAAGATTTTTTCGCTACCCTTTTTTTATTTAAAAATTTATAGACAATACCAAAGATAATTTTAACACCACAAGTTAATTGCTATTTACAAGGCAAGACTTTAAAGTTTTTTTTTGTTTACATTTTGAAGTTTGATCTTACGTGTTTTTTTTTAAGAAAACTCTGTACTGGACGTTGTAAAATCATTTTATCAATGTGTACATATTTATACTGTTATTATTTCTTCTGCTATTATTCTTTAACACTCTTGTTCTGTTTTTATGAAAGTCCTGAAACTACTCTAATAGCGTTGTCAATTCTTGAGAAAGTGGTCAAATCAAACTGGAAATAAAGAAACGGTGTACTTTTTACGTAGAATACAGTGGCGTAGTCTGTTTTTCTACGAAAAAGATATTTTTGAAAATATGAACTATCGTTATGTTTTTTTTTTTCAAATGGAACAACACCCTCAATATTTATAAATCATATGATCAGTCTTGCTATGAGCTTCTTAAAAATATATGTCCTATTTATTTTCACTATTTACTGCTATATTTAAAATATATCATTTTTTATTAGTATACTCTGTTTTTTTTTTCTTAGGTAAGATTTCGACAGACGATGACAGAAAAAAAGCAGATGACGTCCATACCAATCCATTTATTTAACTAAAAAAAGTTTCTAATATTTTTTAATTTAACTATGGATGGGTTTATAACATAAATCCGTTATGCGTTATCTCTTGTTTTAAACCAGTTTTATTGGTTTATTTTAAAAATGACAGATCATATTTCAATATTATTGGTTTAACGGATCGATCAACGACAAACGGACGCCCATGCGTATGAACTCGACTTAAAATTTTTGAGAGTTGTCAAACTCTTGCCAAATTATAGGTTATAATTTTGTGTCAAATTATGTCAAATAGAAATGATAAATATTTTGCATTTTGCATTTTGGACTGTGTTATTACGTGTGTTTCGGGTTTTTGGAAGTTGCTTTAGCTTGAAAGACGGCTTTAAAGCAGGAAATCTTTTTTATATGTTTCTTTGGTATGTGATATTTTTTTAAAATACACCCTTGCTTGTTTTGTACTAACACATATATACAGAGTGAGTTTCCTACGATGTTCTCTATGGGTATCTCGGAAACTACTGGAGATAGAGAGTCGGTTAAATGGGGAAAGAATTGCAGTTTTGTGGGGTCATAAATATGCTCCTTTCAGATTATTGAAAAAGTTCATGGCTTACTAGATATTTTGAAAAAAAACAAAGTGCGGCTATTTTAAAAATTGTCCCTAATTCCATTACAAGCTATTTTAGGCAAAAAGTTTTCAGATAAAAGTTGTAGATAATCACATTCTTAATGAGATTGTGTCCTCCGCTTTTTTCTAAAGCCTGTCATTTTTAACATATGACACAAACATAGTTTTTTTTTAATGGAAACCATAGTTGACCATGGCTTCATAAAAAGCGCCATATTTTAAGCTTTCCAGCGATATAAGCTATAATATGTTTTCTTCGAAATATTACTGAGTTATAACCAATTCTTATCATTTTTAAACAATTTCACTTAGTTAGCCATGGAAACAAGTTTAATCGTCTTTGCTCTCATAAATGTCACATCCAAACTTTGCAAATTAAAATAAATAAAAATTGTAAATATGAATTTTTCAAATGAAGAAAAACGTGTAGGATTATTGGTTCAACTTTTCTTGACCATACATTTTCGAGGATACGTTGACCGGTGAATGTTACGTTTATCAGAGAACGGTTTTCAAGACATGCTAGAGAAGTTAAATTTAGTTATAGCCAATTCTTATCTTTCTTGACTAATTTCACTTAGATTGCATGGTATTCTTATTCTGTTATGATTTATAACTTATAAAAAGTCAGAATATATTACTAAACGGTTCTTTACAATTTAGATTACACAAACTAAAACTTAAAGAAATAATATCACTACAGTACAGTACGTCTGTCCGCTCTGTAGCTACGGGGTATCCGTGAGAGGGGAAACGATATTCTCTCTATGTTTTTCGTAAGAAATTAGACGACGCGTCATCAATAAAAATTCGACACATTTGCAAGTAAGCAATAAATTGAGTGGGCGGAGCGATTTGTGGTGACGTACTCGTCAAGTCGACGAATAAAATATATTGTTGTTTATTTAAATGTTTTTTGTCCGCATTCCTTTCATAGACACAGATCCACACAGCAGGCGTACTGTACATACACTTTAAGTTATTTTAAAAAATGTTCAAAAAATCCGCCATTTTTTTGAGTTGCATGTTTTTAAAACTGAATTACTACCTACTACCTATTCTCACAGAAGGACCGGTCGACTTAATTAAACTTCTCGTACCGCCACTTCGAGTGCCTCTCTTAATTCATAAGTTCTTTTGCAAACCTTATTGTTAACTATACCTACCGCAAAAAAAAAGTCTAAAATGGATAGGTCAGGTGATCGAGGAGGCCCGTGCAATTAGTCCCACTTCTTCCTATCCCTGCGTTTGTATAATTATGATATAAATAATTTTTAACATTTCTTTCATTATGAGAGGTGGGGGGTGGTGTGTTATAATGAAAGTCATGTTGGAACCACTCTATTGATACGCTTTTCTTCATTTAAAAATTCATATTTACAATTTTTGTTTATTTTAATTTGCAAAGTTTGAATGTGACAGCTTCACATTTCTGAGAGCAATGGCGATTGAACTTGTTTCCATTGCTACCTAAGTGAAATTGTTTAAAATGACAAGAATTGGCTATTGGCTATAACTCTAAAACATAACTAAAAAAGATATTATAGCTTATATCACTAAAAAGCTTAAAAAATGGCGCTTTTTATAAAGTCATGGCCAACTATGGTTTCCATTTAAAAATATGTTTGTGTCATATGTCAAAAATGACAGGCTTTAGAAAAAAACGGAGGATACAGTCTCATGAAGGATGTGATTATCTACAACTTTTATCTGAAAACTTTTTGTCTAAAATAGCTTCTAATGGAATTAGGGGCAATTTTTAAAATAGCCGAAATTTGTTTTTTTCCAAATATCTAGTAAGCCATGAACTTTTTCAAAAATCTGAAAGGCGCATACTTATAACCCCACAAAACTGCAATTCTTTTCCCATTTAACCGACTCTCTATCTCCAGTAGTTTCCGAGATACCCATAGAGAACATCGTAGGAAACTCACCCTGTCTATAGATAAATTTTATGCAGTTTTTTTCACAATATTTTTAAGTAATCACTTGTTACTCAAATTTTAAATATATTAATGATAATAATGTATATTACCACAGGTAATATATGTTACCTGTGGCATTATAAATAATAATATGTATATGTCACACTAGTGCCTATCACCTATCACAATACACACTAAAGAAAAATAATAATATTTTAAAAACTGAATTTAACGAAAAGCTTCTCGATCTAAAAGATTTTTTAGACGAAAATTAGAACTCACCTTCAACGTAATGTAACAGAAAATGTCCGTTATAATAGCAATATAAAATACACTGCTTTAAACAATTATCGCATATTTTTAAAAAATATACTAATTTGAAAACCAACTAATTGCAAGTAATTTACTCAGTAATTTTCTTAAGTTTTCCTTTCTTTTAAGTTTTCCTAAAATATTGAATTATCCAATCAAGACTAAGTATTAAAAAAACTATAAACAGAAAATAAAATCACAATTTTGATGTGTTATCTGTAAAAATATGTGTGGGTTTCTCATTTATTTAAGTTTTTCTGTTTCTAAAATAGTGAATATTTTTTTTTTAATTTGTTAATTTTTTTTAATATAGATAGATTATATAAGATAGATAGAAATAAACAAAAATAATAATATAAATAACAATAATATATAAAATTTATGAAAAGAGTAATAAGCTGAAACTCAGCACAAGAAACTCTACATATAAAATAAAATTCTTACCTCAATAACTCAAGTTCAATTTCCAAATATGTAGTCAAACAGACACATATCACTCGAAAATAACGATTTAAAAAAAAAGGTTTTATTATCTTCTTAATAAAGTTTTCGATTTTCTTTTTTGTCGACTCTCGATCGCTACGAAATCTTTAGGAAGTTTTCCGGGGAAACTCACGTCTGACAACCGCGCCGATCGTGGTGGAAAACCGACTGAAAATGTTTTCCGTCGGCGAACTCTTGCGTTTTCCGCGCTTCTGACGCATGGCTTATGACCAGTTTCGCAATTAAGAAACTATGGAATAATGATTAATAATCGTTAGTTCCATTTTACTAGAATTGGCTCGAATTGAACACGAAACTGTGTCACGTTTTGTTAAAATATTCCTTCTATTATATTAGCCGTCAAGTGCAGCATTGGAGCTTTTTATGCTTAGTTTGTCTTAGTATCAACGACTTGTATTAAATATAGGCTAACCAATATACACTTATTTGCTCTGTCAACCAGGAAAATTTTATTTCCAAAGTATATGAGACTACTAAAGGCAGATGATAATGATAATATAAATCAAGTTTTATAGTTATTTTTTATACAAAACGATAAAATCGCAAGTGAATTAATTTCGGGAGACGATAATGCAATTTTATCGTCGTTTATAAAACAATATTTTTTTCCATAGCGAGTTACGTTTTAAAAAATATTCAGAAATTATTATTTCAAGAAATTTATTACGAGTAGAAAAAATATTGTGCTGGGTTGGCGTTGGTTTCTATGTAATTTGACAAATAAATAAAGCTGTCTCTTTAGTTGTCAGTTTTGAGTCAATATTTTTTAATTCTCTTTCATGTCGATTGCTGATTGAATTGGAGCCAGAAATGGCTTAAAACGAAATAAGTAAATTACCAACAGATATTCAGGCTGAGGCGACAAACGCCATATCCAAACTACTTCCTTTTAAATCCCGAATAACTTATGAAAAGGAATACAAAAATTTTCAAAAATGGAAGCAATTAAAAAACGTGCGAGAAGAAATAAAGTTTTTAACCTATCGTCGCTGTTAAAGTATCATTTATTCTATCCTTGCTGTTAAAGTACTACACACACCGGAGAAATCTAGGGATATCATTTTATTAAAGTTAAAAATAAATGTTTTGAATAAACAACCACATATTTGTAGGCCGATTCTTTCTACTTCGATTGAAACGAAGTAGTCACACTAGTTATTTCTAAATTTGGGAAATTTGCAGAAGTGTTTGTGCATTTTTTGTCAAATGTATAAAAAGCACCTAGCATCAATTGTTCGAATTTAACCTGTACTGGCTATGCTTACATAATAAAAACATAATGTAACCGTTAGTAAGTAGGAATATGTGTTATAATCCTTATAATTATTTTTCGAGGGTATATTTGTTATAGAAAAATAACTTTATAAGAACGTTTCTTCCAAACCAAACTTCTACAGATATTTTTTGATATATTATAAGTTTTTAAACAAGTTGTTTTTTTTTATTTAAATCCATGATTAAAATAAAAAAATCCATGGATTTAAATCTTTGCACCTTGGTATAAAATACTAAAATATACTTGGAATAAAATACCAAAATAACGTATAGTATTCGTTTATAAAGAATATTAAATATTTATAAAACAAACATGTTTACAGATATTTTTAATTATGTATGCATAATTTTACGGCATATGATACACAATTTATAATTTAAATATTTTTACTTTTGCTATTAACATATTTCACATTTTTTTTTCTTTAGACTGTATCGTATATTCTCAACTGAACTATTTTTCTAATGTTCTTATATTTTGATTTATTGATTTTAGTATTATAAACATGTTTTCTAATTTTATTTAATTGGTCTTCTTTATTACTTTGAAACAGTTATCTAATAAAAAATTTTGGCAGATTTAGGGTATCCTCTCTGATAAAAGTAATAAAGAAAACTTATAGAATATTTAATATAAAAACAGTAAGAAAAGAGTCTTATATAGTATATTAAACAACGAGTTTCGAAAACGACGTTTTGCACACGAGTTCGACAGTTTGTTAGCTCGAGCCGCAGGCAAGAGCCACAAGTCGAACGAGTGTACAAAGAAGTTTTCGAACGAGTTTTTTACGCTATTTTTTCTACGACTACAAATTAGCAGCAGATTCACTCAGTTTTTGCCAGTTTTGTGAAATAATTTGCGATGTAATGATGACACTTTTCTGACGGCTGCGTTGCGTTTGACGTTTCAGCTAAACATTGGAGGTTAAAAATGTTAAAATTGGCACATGTCGTGTGCAAAATGACACATGTCGTGCGCTAAATCCTTAGCACACAACAGTTTGTGAAACGCCAATTTCAGATCGAGTTTTCCGTGTGTCAAACTGCATTTTCTAGGCTAGTCGTAGAAAAAATACATTATTATCCACAACTCTTTTTTTTTCAATCAACATTTCTCCAGAAAATCTGATGGTTCCTTCTTAGGTCCGGTTTTAGCAACTAAAGGTATTCCGCAAGGTTCTCCATTAAGTACTATTCTTTTTAATATTTATATTTCAGAACTTTTTAAAAATTATTTAAATGTAAAGATTATTGGTTATGCGGACGATTTGGTAATTTTTGTTAAGGGTTCAAATATACTTGAGATGTCTGAAAAATTAATAATGCTTTGGAGCTTGTAAATGATTTTCTTATTAATAGAGATCTTTCTTTATCTTTGGAAAAATGTGAGGCAGTATGGTTCACTAAGGGCAAACGGAGAGATCAGCCACCATTGATTCATCCTTGGAAATCACATTATTCCATATAAACATAATGTGAAGTATTTGGGCGTTATTTTTCAAAAACATTTAAAGTGGGATTTGCATATTGAAAATATTACTAATAAGGCTAAAAAGCCTTAAATGTTTTAAGGGCTGTTTGTAGAGTGTGTGGAGGGGAGCTGATCCGTGTACCCTTTTAATTATTTTTTCTGCTCTGGTGAGATCTCATTTGAATTTGCAACAATTTTTATTAAACCAACTAGTCAAAAAAATTTAAATAAACTAGATGTAGTATTTTTGAGGGTTTACGTATTTGTCTAGGTTGTATGAAATCTACTCCTAGATTAGCGTTGTTGGGAGAATCTTCTATGATTGATTTAAAATGTAGAAGAAAATACTTGTAGGCAAATTTCTGTCTAAATTGTTAACTTTACAAAATAATCCATTAATAAATTTAATTTACAATATTAGAAAAACTGTTAATCCAATTTATATTAATAGTAATAATGTACCTTATGTGGTCTCAGCTTTACATGACTTTCTGCCTTATATTGATAATCTTTATGTTAGTCAAAATTTTCCGTGTTATGAAGTTAGTTTTAATATTTTGAATGATTCTATTAAATTAGTTGATTGTCAAATTAATAAACATGATTTTTCTATTAAGGAACAATTTTGTCAGTATCTGAACGTTTTAAAATTCTCATATTTTTATTTTTACAGATGCATGTAAAAAAAGATAAAAGAACAGGATTTGGAATATATATTCCTTATATAAATTTTAAATTTTTTTCGCGACTAACTGGTTCTTTAAGTATTTGTAAGGCAGAATCCATAGCTATTCATGATGCAGTAAAGTTTGCTATTAAAAAGAACTTGCGTAGTGTTATTATCTTTTCAGATTCCAAAAGTTCAATTCAAAAAATTAGTAAAAATCTCTTTAAAGCATCTGCTGATTATTGGACCTTAAGAACCAAACGTTTAATTTGTTTAGCAAGTTCTAATGGTTTTGACATCAGGATTGCCTGGATTCCAGGTCATTCCAATATCTTGGGAAATACAGAGGCAGATTTGTTGGCTAATATTGGAAAAGATTTAAATATTCCGAAATCTATGGAGATGGATTCGATAGATATTTTTAATTCAATTAAAACTGATATTTTGTGTAATTATAAAGAAAATTGGAAATCTCGTATGGAAGGAAAAAAGCATGTGTATTTTAATATACAAACAATCTTCCCAGATAAACAATGGTCTAAAAATTTCCAGTATATAGATAGAAGACATATTACAACGTTAATTAGAATGCGTACAGGCCATTGCTTAAAAAAAAAACCATTTATATAAAATTAAAGTGAAGGAAGATCCATTCTGTGAGTGTGGCTCTGTTGAAGACCTAAATCAGATCTTTTTAGAATGTCCTATAAATTTTTTGTTTAATTTGGATTTATATCAAAAATTTATTGAAATGAATTTTCCTACTCCACTATCAATATTTACAGTTTTGTCTAAGCCAAGTGAAAAATTAATAGAAACTATTATGATATTTTTTAACATTAATAGAATTAAATTATAATGCTCAACTTTCTATTTTTTATTTTCTTTTTGTTTCAGTTTCCGAATGCAGTCTGTTTGTGTGACCTCTATCCTATGTGCCTTTGTGTGTGATATAATCTTCCTTTCAGCGCGTCATTTATATATTTAATAAATAATAATAATAACATTTTACAGTCACAGGTCACAGGTTACCTTCATAGAAGTTAGTTATATTAAAATTTACCCATTATACATTTTACTCAGATAAGAATCAGTGGCCTTGATATGGTTTAGAGCCAGTCAACATCTTGGTCACTCCCAAATTGAGCTGGCGGTTGCCTTGTAGCAGAGCCATCATAAAAAAAAGAAGAAGAAGAAGAATCCACAACTCTTGAAATTTAAAGGATCTAATCAAATTGAGATTACGTCAAAGTATTATCGATTTTCATGTTTGTTTCAAAATTACGTGAAACAAAGTTTTAAATAATGTCGGTTCAACACGAAATATTTATTCATGCAACATTATATAAACTGTTATTTGACTTCTAAAATTGCGGAAACGGTAAAACTTTGAAAGAGAGGAATGTATTAAATTCAAATTGACTGGGAACTTTCAAATGATGATAAAATGGAAAGTTCTTAGGGGTTTGTATTAGCATCTTTGTAATAAGCTGTTGATAAACTGACTTTTCAAAAGTTTCAGTTGTCGTTATATAATATAATAATTTATTTTTATTATAAAATTTATTATAAATTACAAAAGAACAAATTCAAAGAACGCAAAATAGTGAATTATTATAAAAGCTAAAAAACAAAACATATACAAAAGTAACAAAAACAAAATTGATAAAAAAAGAATGTTTGTAATATTTAATGTAAGAAAGCTGGACACTCAGATTACTCCAAAATACAGAGTGTCCCAATATTGCGTGGACATAGAACTACGACGTATTTTTGGAATCAAAATAAGTTCATTGGACACAATTTACCTCTATATAAAAGTGCTTCGTTTGTCCGTTAGAGGGCATCAAATTTTAAAAAAATAAACACATTTTTTCAGATATTTTAAGAACAGTTATTCCGATTTGAATGAGATTTTGGATGTCTATGTTTTACTAAGTGCTTTAACATATATCTTTCACAAAAATCAAGAAAAAGTACGGGAAGGGTGAAAACTACCTCCACCCTGACGTAAATTTTACTATAAATATTTTCCAACTCAACCAATAAACGATTTTTTTTTTCGTAAAATGGTCCTTCTAGTATTTACTACATTTTTGTCTCTTGTAAAAAAAGCAACGCATTAGCATAGCAACGAATTCAACGCATTAGCATACCTTTCGAGGAAAAAATTTTTTTTTCGAAGCTGACAGCTATGAAGACGCATAAAATCTATTATGCTCTTATTTATCTAGAAATGGAATTTTACGTTAGTATTACAAATTATATTTGACAATAAGCTTCATAAAAGCTTGATAAAATTAATAACTTTTAAATTAATTAACGTTCGGGTTAGAGGTGTGTAGTTCATGAACGAACTAGTTCCAATGAACTATTCCGACCCTGGAATGAAAGGAACTAGTTCCTGGTTTCTCAAAGACCTAGTTCCTCAGGACCTATTGCGGGATCGAGACTGTGACCGATATAGAATAATATGCGACGGATCGGCTGGCGCGCGTAGCCCGTTGGTAGGCAAGAGTTGGGAGTGCCAGCCGTACATTATCGGATCCGGACCTAGAGGAACTAGACTAAATAGACTAGTTTACGTATGGATCAATCAGCGCGATTGATGCTAGGCAGGCGTGGGGAGTGCCAGCCGTATGTTATCGGATCCGGACATAGAGGAACTATTAAAAGACTAGTTCACGGGAATCTATTCAATCGGCAGATCCGAGATATAATACAAGGTAACGACGATGGATTCGGCCTTGTCTATTGCCACAGCCGGCGTGGCGTAATTACCACAGAAAATTGTCGTGGATACTGTTTTTGATTTTTAGTTTGTTTTTTAAATATTTTATGGGAATGTTTCATTTTAGGTCCCTAAAAATAAGAAATATCTTATAAAACGAAGTAGATATTCTGAATTTTTAGACGAAAGCATTTTTTTTATCTGCAAAAAGCTTACCTATATGTTTTTAACATACACAATTACACGTCTCGTTATATCTCCGTACATTATACAAATTATACAGATCATACTGTGAATAGTTCTGACTGACAACGAAACGCATTAGCAAGCAAGAGGGATGTCAATGTTAGCCGGAAAGTATTGTGAACTAAAGACCTAATTCAAGGAACTATTCCTCTGGAGGAACTAGAACTAAGGAACTAGTTCCTCCCAAGGAACTCCCAGAATTCCCACCTCTAGTTCGGGTTTATTTTTGATTGATGCCCTGTATTGAACAAACGAAGCACTTTTGTATAAAGGTAAATTATGTGCAATTTATTTATTTTGCAAAAATGTTTATTTTTCAATTTTTATTTTTGAAAAAAAAACATTTTACGAAAAAAAAACGGTCGCCGGTTGAATTGGAAACTTAAGGGATTGGAATAGTTTTCACCCTTCTCGTAATTTTTCTTGATTTTTGTGAATGTCAAATGCTAAAGCACTTAGCAAAACATAGACACCCAATATCTCATTCAAATCGGAATGACGGGTCTTAAAATATTTGAAAAAATGTGTTTATCTTTTTAAAGTTTGATGCCCTCTTGCGGACAAACATAGCACTTTTGTATTATATTGGTAAATTGTATCGAATGAACTTATTTTGATTCGAAAAATACTTAGTAGTTCTATCTCCACGGACTATTTTGGCAACCTGTACACCTGCAACCGAATACAATTTCCAAATCACAAACAGTCATTTCAAGTCGGATTTCCTCGTTATATAATAAATATTTATGCAAAATTTGGTTTGTTTTTAAGCTGTAAGAAATGACAGAGCATATTTAAAGGGAGTCTGTCATTTCCCTATTTCTACACCAGTTTGCGATTATTTCCAGCGATTCCTGAAACTTCTGTCAATTATCAACAGAGCTCATCTCTGAAAAATTTTTCATGTCATCCGCATACAATAAAATGTTGACATTTGAACGCCCAACAACACTATTCATAAAAATATTGATTAATAGAGGACCCAGAATTGACCGCTGGGGAACCCTAGAGATAATATTCACCCAGACATTTTACCACGGCATTCCACAAGTAAATTCCTGTCACTCAAATACGATTCAAAAAATATCGACAATCAAAACCATATTCTGTGTGAACGGGTGACTTTCGTAGTTCGGGGACGATGACTGAATAAATACAATTATTGTTTCTCTATTTTCACGTTTAACGCATACTGAAGACGAAAAGTCTTGACGTCGCTGAGCAAAAAAGCTAATGCAATCCAAAAGTGGGACAGGAAACCAAAAAGACCAAGAGCCGTTTTTTTTTCGAGGCGGAAGAAAGTTTTTACGGACACCCGTCGCCGACGGATTGTCTCAAATTGGATTAAGAAGGCTTTTAACTGGGGCAAAATTAAATTTTTAGCTCATTTCGTTCTAAGTGACGTCGCGAAATCTCTAAATAAATACGACGATGTTCTGCAGACGGATCTGACGCTTTGTACTTTTCATTTTAGATTTTTTTATCTTTTTTATGCCTAGAAGCGTTGTTCCGGTCCTGATTCCTTCCGAACTGAATTAAATTAAATTGTTTAAGATGATTAAATTTTAATTGTACAGGGTATCCCAAATTCGAGCACCATATTCGGGATCTCGAGAGAACGCCTTAAATGAAGACAGTGGCAAATTTTTAAACTTTGAAAGTTTAAAAATGTTTTTGAAGAAAAACTTGTTGAAGAGAAAATTATTAAAATGTTTTTTTTTAATAAAGGCAGGTCAAAGACGAAACCCTGTTTTGAACATTTTATAACACCAAATTGTTATTATAAATCAAAAAACTAACAACGAGAATATGTAACTTATTTTTCTTTTTTTTTCCTGGATGTGGACAAGAACTCTATTATCAGCCGTTTATTCTATCTTATCTCTGTGGCTCCCTCCTCATGTAAAAAGAACATTAAATCCATACATTTAATGCGCGTTTTCGTTCAAACCATCCCATGAAGCAAGCGGCTAACGAGTCGATTTACGTTCATTCGCTGTCTAAACGGTTCCGATTAATTAATAACAAACTCTCCCTGAATGGGGGTCCATTATTGTTAATTACATCGGTTCAAAAGCTTAAGCGCCATTGCAGTTTATCTCAGTGGTGATTTCTAGGTGCTTACGTCCTTAATTACCATCTACCGTATGATCGAAAAAAAATGGAGTCCAGTTGGCTTGGAAATGACGATCGATAACATTTCCAATATAATTTTACATATATAAAATAAAATGACAGCGATCTTCATTTCATAGCCATCGCTGACGCCGTTTTTATTCGAACATACGGTATTTGGACATCTAAAATCCAAATACATTTGTTTACGTGATTTACCATGTTCATAATCCCATAAAAACTATTTTCTGTACCGAATATAGTCACTATTAGCTGGTATAAGATCATTATTGACAGAAAAAATTAAAAAATAGAATTTAATTTAAATCTTTAATTTTTAAACGTGTACTCTATCCTATCTTTCGGCCAGTTGTTAAACAGCATTTAAACAGGTCTTTATACGAGTCATACGAGTATTACGAGTATGACAAGTATTTCAAAATTTTTCTTTTTCCGCTCCAATTTTCAGAGTAGGAACCGTGGTAGGAAACTGTTGAAACTTTTTACCACAGAATACAGGGTGATTTTTAACTGTGTTTTTAACCTATACGCATAAACTTGGGAAATTATTGCTGATGACAAATAATGACTTAATAATGAAAAAAAAGTAAGTAAAATATTTTTATTTACGGAGATAACAAACTATTTGTAATAAAAACAAAAAAACGTAAATTCCATTAAATTGAATGTGCATTTACTGATAAAGTTGAAAATTTTTGTGAAAAAAAACTCAAATTATTTTCGAATCTAAAAATATTTTACTATTTTTTTTTTTTTCATTATTATAGTCATTATTTGTCATCAGCAATAATTTCCCAAGTTTATGCGTATAGGACAAAAAACCACCCTGTATATACCTTGCGTAGTTGCTTTCATGTTGCTTTGCCTGTCAACGTTCTATGGATGGCGTGTGTTCTGTCAAAAAAGCGCTTTATCTATGGTCACAGTCTATGGTCAAAAAGTCAAAAAAGCGTTCAAATTTTTGACACATGCGGCGTAGTTTGTTTAAATTTAGTTTATTTTTGTAATTACGGGTAGTTTGTGGCCGGAAGGGCGATAAGATGTTGGTTTTATTTGAGACCCCCGCGGGGTATGCTATTTTTAAGGTAAGAAATGTTTCCTTCTCGAGAAAATCTCAATTATTGTCGTACCTAACCTAAAAACACCACGCTTTTTCAGCTTCTGGACGAAAAGAAATTGGAAAAAGTGGATAGTTTGTATACTTCCTTCGAAACCCCCGATTTAGCTCAGAAAGTGTAAGTTTTTCCGCCATCCGCACATTTCTATTTTGAAGTAACTTGTTATTTTTTTTCATATTTTAGTGTTGCATTAAAACATTTCGAAAAATTCGCCGATACAACTGAAGCGCTAGCCGCTACTACGGCTCTAGTCGAAGGAAAACTTTCAAAAAGTCTTAAAAGAGCCGTAAAAAAACTCTTGGACACAGATACAAAAGAACAGCTTCTTGTTGCTGATGCAAAGTTGGGATCCGCGTTGAAGGAAAAGTTCAGTTTACAATGCCTTTCAAATACGTCAGTGCAAGAACTTATGCGGTGTATAAGGTCGCAACTCGACAATTTAATCGGGGGAATGGCGGCTAAAAAGGAGATGACTGCCATGGCTCTTGGTTTAGCTCATTCCTTATCACGGTATAAATTGAAATTTTCCCCAGATAAGGTGGATACTATGATAGTTCAGGCAGTGTCTCTTCTGGATGACTTAGATAAAGAATTGAACAATTATATTATGAGGTAAGATCTATGATTTAATTAAAAAAATTATTTACTTATAATCAATTTTTTAGATGTCGAGAATGGTATGGGTGGCATTTTCCTGAATTAGGAAAAATTATTACTGATAATATGGGATTTGCAAAAACAGTAAGAATTATCGGTACAAGAGACAACGCCTCTAGTTCAGATTTATCAGATATTCTGGCTGAAGAGATTGAAGAAAAAGTTAAAGAAGCAGCGGAAATATCAATGGGAACAGAAATTTCGGAGCAAGACATTGAAAATATTATTAGATTATGCGATCAAATTATCGACATGACCAATTATAGAACCCAATTATACGATTATCTTAAGAACAGAATGATGGCGATTGCACCTAATTTAACAGTTCTAGTAGGCGATCTTGTAGGTGCAAGATTAATATCTCATGCAGGTTAGTTGTTGAAGATGTTTAATTATTTCAAAAAGTATTCATTTATTTTTATTCAGGTTCTTTAATAAATCTTGCTAAGCATCCTGCATCAACCGTACAAATTCTAGGTGCAGAAAAAGCACTTTTTAGAGCTTTAAAAGCAAAGAAAGATACTCCAAAGTATGGTCTTATTTATCATTCGCAGCTCGTTGGTCAGAGTAGTACAAAGAATAAGGGCAAAATGTCAAGGTAATTTTTATAATTTATTTACAGCATGATCCAGCTTCTGGAATAGTTCCACATCAAGTTTCCTATTTGATATTTTCATTTCTATTTTTTTTTTAATGTATGAGCTATACTAGTAAACCTTTCAAAATAATATTTTTTGTACTGGTACTTACTAGTTTTAGTTTTAAGATGTGCTACTTTATTGGAATCATGTTTAATAAATGAAAATAGTTTGCAAAAAAAATTTACCCAGCACTCCAAATTTAATTAAATTTCAAACCAGGAAAAAGTATTTTTTGGAACGCTGTGTTACCTTGTAATGAATATTTTTGGGCAGCCTATATATTTGTATATTTTTAGAATGTTAGCAGCGAAAGCAGCTCTAGCAACTAGAGTTGATGCTTTAGGGGAAGAGACTCACGTGAGATTAGGTCTTAACCACAGAGCAAAACTAGAAAAAAGGTTGAGAGAGTTAGAGGAAGGAAATATAAAGAGAATAAGTGGAACAGGTAATGGTTCTTCTTCCAAAAAAAGTTACTTTTTTCTAATTTTAATTGATATTTAGGAAAGGCCAAGGCTAAATTCGAGAAATACCAGGGTATTAGCGAAATCAAGCATTATCCAGATGCCGCCGATAGTACTTTACCTAGTACAAGCAAAAGAAAGAGATCCGAATCAGAATCACCGATAAAAGTCGAAGAAGAAGAAGAAACTGAAGCTGCTGGAGTTACTAAAAAGAAGAAAAAGAAGAAGGTTAAACAAGAACCCGTAGAAGAACAGCAAGTTGAAGAATGTAAGCTAACAAACAGTCTTATTTAGGGAGTTGTTTTGAAACTTATTTTATTTTATTTTTAGCTGAACAAACGCCTAAAAGGAAAAAGAAGAAGAGCAAGTCAAGTTCAGATGATAGTCAAATTGAAGAAGGCATTAAACAAGAAGGTATAAAGACTGGAAACATTTAAAAATATGAACCTATAGATTAATTTCGATTTTTTTAGCTCCCGAAGAACCAACATCAGAAAAGAAAAAAAAGAAGAAACTTAAGAATTTAGATCAATCTACTGAAGCAGAGTCGTCTGTGGTTTCTGAGCCTGTTAGCGAGAAAAAGAAGAAGAAGAAAAAGAAACATATGTCAGAAAGTACAGAGTAATACGTGGTGGTGCTAAATATTTGGTATATAATAAAACAATTTCTGCAAATATTTTTTTTATTTTTGTTTTTTTTGGTAACAGAAAATAGTTACATACATATATATTCTTTATTTTTGATTACTATGTCAAATAAATATCAATAAAAAATGATAGTACCTAGGTATAAAAACGTATATTTTTTATGTAAATCCTACATTATTTAAACAGTCTTGATCATTTCCCTAATAAGTTCTTCAAATAACTGTAGTATAGTTTGCCTTGCAGTATACTGAAAAAAAAACAGTTTTATATAGTAAATTTGTTAGTTACTAAAAGAAAATACTATATACTCGAAATAAAGCGACGTCACGGTGGCCCTTGATATGACAATCAATGGTAATTTTTCTTGAATCGCCCTCTGTATGGTATTTATTGAAAATGGACATAAAAATTCAGGTAAAAAATATATTCGAATAAAAAAAAAATTTAGATTCCAACCCAATGATTCCTACCAAATGTAATTCGGTAAAAATTATTTTTTGCAAACAGAAAAACATTAAAAACCAGGCTATTATATTGTTTTGTTTTGTTTTTTTCGTTATTTTAAATGGAACACCCTGTATTTTATAATATAAATGAACATACTTTTTATCCAAATTTGTTTTAATAAATTAATATCATATCCAAAATCGTTGTTTATACACTTATTTTCTGTTTTATAATAATTTCCCGCTGTTTTTTATTATTAAAAAACAGAATTTTTGATTAAATATCGATTTTAGATAGCAAGTGCTTAATAAAAAAAAGATTAAACAATATTCTGTTAGTTGATGATACCAAATACAGTGTGTTCCATTTCAAATAGTGGAGAAAAATTCAATATTTAGGTTTGATTGACCCCGGTATGTATCAGGCAATATTGCAAATTATCAAATTAAAGTAAACTAGATTTTAAAAATGACACTATTATACCGGGTGCGTCTAAAAAGTGACTCACCCCTATAACTTTTTTATTTCTTCAGATAAAAAAAACGAGATTTGGTATATTAGTATATGGTATAAATTAGGATTGATTGTCGTATTCAATTGTTTTTGGTCACTTCCTGTTTCACCGGAAATGACTATAACTTTTGATTTTTGAATGGCACCCTCGGTATACTTTTACACTATTCAATAGAAAATGACACTCTGAATAGAATGACATATCATATGTCAACTTTTAACATTTTCGCTTAAAAACAAATCGTATTTTAAATTTCAATCTAGAATGCCATGGCTGTGTTAAAAACACTAATTTTTAATCAAGGAGCCTTGGTTAACATCAAGGAGCCATTTGCCATCTAATGTTTTTCGTGTCTTGTCCTGGCCGGTTAAAAGATGCGCAAATCGTATTTTTAATCATATTTCAATTTTTTCAAATGGAACGAGGGTGGCTCATTAGTATATTTGGAAAAAGCATTTTTTTGTTAATAATTTGGTACCACACACCTGCTATTTCGAGTCAAATTGTCGTTATGAACCGCACGCATGTTACAATGTCAAAAGTTGACATATGATATGTCATTCTATTCAGAGAGTGAAAATACCGAGGGTATCATTTAAAAATCAAAAGTTGTAGTCGTTTCCGGTGAAACAGGAAGTGACCAAAAACAATTGAATACGTCAATCAATCCTAATTTATGTCATATACTAACATTCCAAATCTCGTGTTTTTATCTGAAAAAATAAAAGTTATAAGAGTGAGCGACTTTTGAGACGCACCCGTTATAGTACTTTTGGATAAAAAGTAAATAATTTTAGAATTTAGATTTACTTTAGTTTGAAAATATGTTGGTTTTAAGTCACCCTATACAAAAAATTGCAATGATATTTTTTAATAAATAAATATCATACAGCACGACGTAAGAAAAATATCGATTGTAGTTTCAAAGGCTACTACGACTCCGTTTTTTTTACGATCGTATACGTTAAATATACTATTATGAAAATTACCTATAAATTCTGAAACTGGATCATTTTCACCATCTCCTCTCATGGTTCCTGTAATTTCATCATTTTCAACCATAGGCATGAATAAATGGACAAACTCGGAACTATATGGGGGTCCAATGGTTTCCAGTACTTCCGTCACAAAGTATCTGATCAAGGAGATATCGGTGTCGCCCCTTTGCCAGCACTGCTTAATATATTTCACCACTGGAACGACGCATCCAGAATAAAGTAAGTTAACCATTCTGTCCAGTACCATTTTTCTCATTTCCAACTAAAAATCAAAATTGTGTTAATCAATATACTGAGTATCCCATTTTCGTGTGTTTTGCAGGGTTTCTTGTTTATGCATACAGATAAAAAAATGCGGTTTTCAATTCATCTGTCAAACGCATCAACGAAAAATGAGTATGGGGCTTAACTTTCAAATTTAAAATTTACCTGTACTAAAATTTCCAATTCATCCTGTTTGGACTCAAACAAACGAATTAAGAGATCTAAAACTTGATTATGTAATAGAGTGTGACTAGTAACCACCTCGTCCAACAGAGCTAAATGTATTGGGGTGTGTTCTGTGGATAGCTTAAAGTAACTAGGTTCTGTTACAGTACACTCTACCCATCTAATCACTCCTAAAGACACCACAGGAAATCTAAAAGAAAAAATAATTGTTTTAAACTTCTTTATGATATAGAAGTGAATAAATAAACCTTAGAGATTGGTAAAGGGTCGCTAATTCAGCCATCAATTCGGAACTTCCTTTGTTACCATTGCAAATATTATGCACTGTTTCAATTGCCCTTACTGTAGGCTGCAACTCGTCCTTATTGCAAACCCTTTTCTGACCTAAAGAAATAATGATCAGTTAACGAAAAAACCAACGTGAAAAAACCTATAGGGTACCTTTTTTTGGTTGTACTTCACTGACACTAGCTGCATACGCTAGCAAATGGATATATTTAGGTTTGTGATCGGGATTTAACTTTACACCAGGCTTGAACAAAGCATCCACTAACAGTTCTGTAAAAAAATAATGTTAATTAAATATTATCTTCAAGAAATCAACCAAGTTTACCTAAAAATTGTGGTGTTCTTATTAAATCAATTGGAGGAGGATCTGGTGCGTTATAGTTGCGATAAAGAACAGATATATCAGCTGGATTAAGTGTATTTTTTGATAACATCGCTGTAAGTGCTTGACAGGCTTGTGGATAGGCAGATGCACCATTCAACGCCATGGTTATTGGTGTAATATCATTCCCGCTAAAAAAGTTTCAGATAATGAGAATTAAGAATTACATTTTCTTTATCTAGAATAACATACTTTTTTTGTGCACACTTAGTAATTTCTTGTGATAATCTCTTCATACTCGAACCTCCCTTCGCTTCTCTAGCCAGTATATGAATGACCAGCTGACTATAGACATAAGTATGCTGCCCATGGCATACCATTTTCTATAAATAAAAACATTGAATGTATTGTAAATAATATGTATAAAATATATTTTAAATCTTACAGCACATTCTTTACTAGTATTCTGCCATTCGTCAGGATTTGTTAGAAAACTAGTTATAGAAGTCTTAAGCACCCTTGAGAACACTTCCAGTTGCTGTGCAGCAGTTGATATGCTTGTGATTTCACCTTGAAATCCAGCATCTGATATGAGCTACAACATTTCAAGATATATTTAGATATAATTAAAAACATAAGGAAATATTAATTACCTTAATAGTAAAATTGAGCATAAGACAATCAGGATATTCTTCTGCAAGTCTATATATCAAAGAACGCCAAGTAGGATGTTCGATTAGCTGTGTTAACCAAGCAGGTGTTTCACCCTCTTCGGTAAAAATTGTATCTGCTTTCTTTGGGTCAAAAGTTTTCAAAATCATTTCCTTCAAGTGATTTTCAACCATAGCTTGCACATCTTGTACTTTTACTCCTAGAATGTGTGATTAACTTATAGTTCTTATTCATTATTTGAGGAATTTAAACACAAATTTACCTCCAATAATCAACCATTCTGCAATCAAGTTTGCCATTTGGGCAACGGCTGTATAATTATGGGAAAGTTCTTCAATAACTTGCAATGGATTTCCTCCTGCTTGAAAGTATCTCTTGAGCTGAGAAAATATACCTGGCTCCATAATATAATCAGGAGTGGCAAATTTCTCAGCGCAATCAGCGAGAACTTGCTCTGGTAGTTCGGCGTCTTCTGGTCCTTCAGACTAACAAATGTTATATAGCAACATAAATAGTTTAATTGTTAATATACGAACCTCATTATCGCGATCTCCACTATCCCACGGTCTATCATCGTACTCTTCTTCCATGACTGAACAGATCTTTGTTTCTATAATTACTTATTTTTAAAATAAACCACCATTTACGACCACCAAGCGACCACCATTAATCAACAAACCTTTGGAGGTTATGATTTATGATTCTGTCAACAAGAACCACAGAATAATGAAGTCTAGAACCATAGAGTAGCTTAAACAGCTCTCAACAAAGGGATATAGAGATAGTAATAGTAGGGATATCTCTGCGTCAACCATAGAAAATAATCCTTACAATCATTGTGTATTACTGGTTACATAAGTAAAATTATTATAAGTTTTTTTAACCTTACATTTAATTCAGAAAAACTATGAGAAAAACTCTTATTAAAAATGAAAGTAAATTGTGAATATGGGTAAGTATAGTTTTCCGAAATTAATACATACTAATTATGAGGTAACTCTACCCTTCATAATACTAATGTAGATATTTTTCAGTGGAGGTTGTGATTTATTATTTGGTACCAAACAAGAGACTTACGAATTGCCTTCCAGTTCAACAGCGTGTAAGCAGCGTACACAACCATGTATTAAACGTTTTTGACATAAAATGTGTGATTTCAATATTTTAGGGACTGTAGGAGAATTACTACTGTGGCTGGCAGAAAAACATTTAAAAACTACACAAGAAAATTTTCTTCAAGGAGATTCTGTGTAAGTTGATACATTCAGCGGCAATTTTAATGTCGGTGCAATAAGGCACCGAGGGGCCTCAAGCACCACCGATTAAACAACAAGCGTGCCTCAAGCCTCCTGGGCCCTTACAAATGAGATTCAAACTTTTCTGAACTGCAGGTCTGTACTGTTCGAATTAGCACTGGGCCCCTAGATCTATTAAAATCGCTGCTGAATACATGTATTAGTAGGTATTTATGCCTACTTGTATAATTTTTATCTTTATTTTAGGAGACCGGGAATTCTAGTTATGATTAATGAGATGGATTGGGAACTATTAGTAAGAAATACTAAAATTTAGAAAAATTTTATCTCCGGGTATTTAATATATGTTTTTTTAGGATACAACCAATTATGTATTAAAAGAAAATGATACAGTGATATTTTTCTCGACGCTTCATGGAGGATAATGCATACATATAATTAAGAGTAAAATTTGTATATATATTTTTTTAAATTTATATTTTTTAAGTAAATTTTGTTTACTGCTTATTTTGTTTCTTACCCTTTTATCCTCATTATAACTTAGAGCAGTGATTTCTACATTATATATCATTATTTATGGTTCCACTTAATTCTGTGTAAAATGTATCTTCCTTAAAATAATTTAGTATTAAACAATAATGTTTTTTACTCGTTTTTTGTGTTTTTTGTCTCCAGTTATAAATTAATACCCTTTATTGTATGCAACCAGATATAGTTTTGGTTACCCATTGATTCAGTAAATCCTTGTGCTATCCTTAATCTGAGGTGCTTGAAACTGTCAAATGTCATCATATTTTAAATTTTACAAATTTTGAGAATTTTATCTACTATTGGTGGGTTCATACAACCAAATAAAATAAAATAAGAATAAAATAAAATAAAATAAGAAAGTTGGTTATATGGGATACCGTACATGCGTTCATACAGCCAAATAAAATAACAAATAAAATAAGAAGTCTTTATCTTTTAACTTCTTGTTTTATTTTATGTGAAAACGGCTTTGCGCAAGCTCAATTCTAACCTACAAATATTTTCAGTTTGGATTTAATTTATTTTATAATTTCACATAAGTAAAATTTATAATATAGTAGGCAACGAATAAATAAATATACTATAAATAGTAAAATTACTATAAACAATCGTAAAAGTTAACTTTTATCCAGCCTCATCGTACTGCGCATGAGCAAATATATATTTCTTATTTTATTTTATTTGACTGTATGAACGCACACAAATAAGAATTCCTTATTTCTTATTTTATTTTATTCTTATTTTATTTTATTTGGCTGTATGAACCCACCATATTTCCTTTTGATTCATTTTTTTTCGATATTGGCCGAATGACCTATATAAGAAGAAGAGAAAATCAATGTAATCTGTGGTTGTTCATGTTTTGAACCATAAATATATAATGAAGAAGAACAATACTTCGATTCTATGGTTACGGTTCCTTTAAGACCTGAAACATGAAAAAGAAGAAGAAGACAGGTGGCGCCATTGTGGAAAAAGTGAGAAAATTTTCAACTATGGATTTTCAACCCAGGCCAAGGTTGCCAAGATATTAGCGAAATCCTGAAACTAAACTAATATCTAATTCAATATTTTTGTAAGTCTAAAACAAAGGTCTAAAATGAATGGAACTGTTTCAAAATCATGATAAATCCCCTGTATAAATCTAATTAACATTTAATACAAGTTTTGTTTCGATAGAATAAATAACATATTTTCTTTTAGAATTTTATTTATGCAGCAATAAGAAGTTTAACTTGATATAATATCATTTTAATCATTTTAACATTTTAACCCATGATTCTAACAGAACGTCAACGGTTTCTTGTAGACGTATCTGTTTTTAAAAAAGTAAACTGTTCTCGAATAGTTGAATTTAAATATTTTAAATAGTTTTTTTCTTTATTCTTTGTATTTTTTTGCTTCCGACGACGGAAAGAGATAACTTTCCGAAACGTTAAGCATTTTTTTCTTTGTTAGCGTCCGTTTAGGTTTAACTGGGTTTAACGCAGAAGTGTTTACAAAAAATAATTATTTTATTTTGTAGATTTTCTTGCAGTGCAGTGGCGAAATACCCATAAAGGATTTTTTTTGGAAATAAATGTATGTATTACTAGTTTTACGTGTATTCAATCTGACAACGTCGACTTATGGCGAAATTTTCCGATACTGGCAGGAAGTCGTTATGCCGCTCTTAAATTTTTCTAATTTTTTTTATAGAAAAAGTGATTTTTCTGTGCACTATTCATGTTTATTCTGTTCCTTAAAGCCAGTTTAATCTCCTGAAAATGTAAGTTGCCATTATTTTGCCTGTTTTCTATAGACTTTTTCACTTTCAAATATTTCAATTACATCATCATTATAAACATATATTTCTCCAATTTTCTTTTTTAAATTCGAGTGTATGGAAATACAGATACATTCTTGATGTCTCTATTATACAATAAAACTAAAGTTACTTAAATCCAATAGAATTTATTAATTAACCTCGTATTTAGAAATAATGCTTGTTATTTTTTCGACCATTTTTTTTGGTAGAGATGTTTTTTATTCCTAAAGGTAATTTTTTAGGTGTTGTTCATAAAGGCAATGAAGTATTTTCTACGCTTTTTCTGGACTTTTAGCCATTGTTTAGGTATTGCTTTAACTATAATTTTTTAAGGGTCCCCCATTCTCAAGAATTACATTGTGATTACATAATATACTTTCAGATACAAAGAACAAAGAAACGTTTTCACATTTAATATTATACGCCGTCGTCATATTCTAGTTAACAAATTTGCATTGTTTTAATATAATACTTTAGTTAGTTTTTTTTTTCTTTTTTAGGAGTGTCTTTTATAATAATACACACCCAAGGCATAAAATAAAGACCACCTAAAGGAAGAGAGCTAGGTTACTGTTTATATAATTCTAATGTTTGGCTATCATTCTAGTTTATGAGATTGGTTTTAAGGGTTTTACATTACTGGTTACAAGTAAGTTTATTTTATTATTTAAAAACAATTTTAATAAATCTATTATTATAACTAGACTAATTGTGGCTAATAACAGACTAACCATATATATTTTTAAGGTATATTTCACATTAATATTAGGGGTGTCCCAGGCTGAGCGTGTATTAGAAGTTTCTAGAGAACTACAACATCTAGCTCAGAGATTTTTTGCACATCATAGTTTCACAACGAGATCTATCGATCAGAAATATTTTCAATATGGCGGCACTTTCGGAAATACCGGAAGTTGACAGCAACTTTCTTATTCTAAATGGATGCCCCATTTTTTATTACATACTTAAATTCTCTGTAAAATTTTATGAATTTTGATATGAAACACTCTATATCTAACATTGACCGTTTTTGAGAAAAAAAAAATATTTAAAATTTTTGAACGAAAAAAACTGCCTGTTAAAAACATGTGTATAGCTAAATGTCAAATTTAGTGATTACCACAGCCACTTTGCCACAAAGAGAAAACATGTGGCTATCTATTTCAAAAATTAAATTGTTCGAATGTCAATCATTTTTTTCAAATGGAAAACCATTTTTTTTATTTCACTAGTGAAAAGGCTTTTCAATTCGTTACTTTTTGACTATACATGTTCCTATACCTAAAATAAATCATTTTTAAGTTATTTAAGATTTAGTTTAAAAGCGTATATTTTTCTTGATTTTAACCAGTAGCCATCATATTGTGACGCTTTGTTCAAAAAGCACCATCATTTCCGAGCCAACTTTGCGCTGTTTTTTTTTCGATCATACGGAATATTATTAATATCAACTATTAGGTATCACTAACGAGCGAAAATACGAGATATATTTTTATAAATACACTTTTTAAACTCTTAAGGCAGGCAGTATTTATAATATAGGAAATTCAAATAATTCGTTTTCTGACAGAGGGAAATAATTTGTCTGTCCGTTTGACACTTAATGTCAAAGGAAGCTAGATAAAATGAAAATAATTTTTTTTTCAATTGGAAACCCATTTTTTTATTTCACTGGTGAAAAGGTATTCCATTTCGTTACTTTTTAGCTATTTATGTTCCTATACCTAAAATAAATCGTTTTTAAGTTATTTTAGATTTAATTTGAATACGCTTTAAAATTAAATCTTAAATAACTTAAAAATTATTTATTTTAGGTATAGGAACATGTATAGTTAAAAAGTAACGAAATGAAATACCTTTTCATCAGTGAAAAAAAAGTGGGTTTCCATTTGAAAAATTATTTATGATAATTTTTTAATCGCTCAATTACAGCCAGCTACCGCCATTATTATATGACATTTGAAGAAAGACGCCAAAAAAAAAATACAAATAATAGAGAAGACATAATTATGTCTTCTATTATTTGTACTCTTGTAACGACTGTCCTATTCATTTGTATATGTTTTTGTCTTTAAATTTATTTCCCATTTTTTTTTAATTCATCATATATCTCTTTCTATTTGTCTCCTATATTTTCTGCATTATTAGAATGCTATCATTCATTCATGTTTCACTTATATCAATGTCTTTAATCATTTTCATGCCATCTTTCCCAATTTATTTCCCATTTTTTTCAATTCATTATATCTCTATTTGTCTCCTGTTTTTTCTTCATTGTGGAAATGCTATCATATCAAGTTTCACTTTTCTTTATATATATTTAGATATGATGCTATCAAACAAGGCTGACGGTATTTTTCTTTATGACTTTCTTCTGTATTGATTGTACCTATTTCTAAATCTCTTCTTTTATTCTTCTTAGACTTTCAAGTTTTTTATTTAATTTTGGCGCCTCCATGGAATTGTATGGTTTTGGATTTATTTTCTAATTACCTACTTTCTTTTCATTCCGTTTCTAATTTCTTCTAAAACTGAGTTTTTGATTGGGATATTGTACTGCTTTGGAACAAGGATTTTTTGGAAGAACTTTTTTCAATTGAACCACCCTCTTCAAGATGCCATTAGGTTGATTAAATTCAACAATCAGCAGTGGAATGAGAATGAAATTCATCATTGAAAAGCAACTAAATAATTTGAGGTAAATGATACTAAAAGTTTTTTTTAATTAAATATATTTACTAGATATCTAATATTATTGTATTTTGTAGAACATGTAGATATAAATTATGAAATTTAATACTATTTATTTCTTTTTTTACAGATTTTCCACGACAAATCGATGGATGCATACAGTTACAGGGCAGTACATTTATCATTTTGATGAATATTATCAACAATGCATTGGGACTTATACCTAAAAGTATAATCACAGACAAAGTTAGTTTGTGGTATAATTTAAATTTTTATTTCTTTTAGGTAAACATATTTTTACTGGTTTTTAATGTTCATCTCTAGATTTCGTAATTTTTACATTTAATTAAGTAAGAAAAAAATTCTAATAAGTCTGAGCTATATTTTAATGGTTCCTTTTTAGCATTGATAATTTCAGACCATCCATGTGTAACAGGCCATCCATGTGTAACTTAGGCCAATTTTTGGTTTTGATGTGTTGATCACT